TTTGAGAAGCGCGCCTTATCCTGCTGGCCCAGAAGCCAGCGACGTGGGCTCTGCCATCACCCAGGACTCCTTCTGAGCCTTCCGGAGCACAAGAGGCTTTTCTCTCTTTGGTAACCAAGAAGCTCAGAGTTCTCTTGAAAAATAAAATCATTTTCATTGAAGTTTCTACTATATTTTTCTCCACCTTCTGCACCTATCAAATGACCTTTGTTCATCATTTGCCTTGGTTAGGGTCCCATTCTGGCCACATCTCTTATTGTAACCTGACTCAAATCCCATTTGGAAAGAAATAACAAACACCATCAAGAGTTTGTTAAGATGAAATAGGGGAAGGACTCCAAGGTAAGAGGTGAAACCTCAGTGACTACCTTGGAGCAGGATGATGATATCGTGTTTGATGAGAAGAACGTGACTGTCAGAAGGAAAGATTTTCCCAAGGCCATATGGCCACCATCTGACCATCTCAACCCAACACAGTGCGCCTTGCTCCGCAGCTCCTGCATTGGGGTGTGTTCTGACATTTTGGGGTCTACCACCCTTGGGAATTCTGTACAGCCACACATTCTCTTCTGAGCAGGAATCTCCTTTCATCTTGTCTACTGTTCCAGAAACCCTTTCTCAGATCACAGTAGAATTTAACTCACAGCTGAGATTAATATTTAGAAAGGGTGAGTAGCATCCTTACAAGGCTAAAGATACGCATGTCACCCAACAAACTGTAACCTCAGCATTTGCCAGGAAAGCATGCAAATGTAATTAAGCATCAACAAGCCCTCCCAATGCCTGCAGCTATATGCAAAATATACTGTTTGCCCCCAAAGCGCCAGATATCTTGTGTCAAGTTTCTTTCCTCCCATTCTGCCAATAACACTTAGAGAAAAGCACAGATTTCTCTTGAGAATTTGTTGTTCTGCTTGTTCTCAACATGAAGTGACAATTCCTTGAGTGAAGAGCCTGAGGCTGCTGTGAAAAATAGGAGACAGTGAGAGTGTGTCCCTGATGACAAGAAGCAGGGCTGTGCATGCTCAGGGAAGCGCTCTGTGTACCTGCCTGGTACCCTTCAAGGCTCCTCACCTCTAGCCCCCTCACAAGGTCAGGTCCAAATGCCTTACCTGGCCTACAGCACTTTTCTGGACTGCCCCTACCTATTTCTCTAGCTGCAGCTCAGCGTCCCCTGATCTTCACTTACATTTCAGAAACCACTGCTCATAGCTTCCTAAGCACCTAGAGCGTGGTCCTGGACCTCTGCTCGTGGATCTCTTCTGCCCAGTTTCCACCCTTCTGTCTTCTCCTTTCTCTCTACACAGCGATTTGGTGGGATCACTTCTTGTGGCCTACAAGGCTTGAAATTTTTCTTCTTTCAGTATTCCAACTATCAGATTGACCCATTTCATTCCAGAGCTCTTCAGCTTCACTTCAAAGTTCAAGGATCCCAGAGGCAGCTCCTAGTGGGAGGTAGCTACGGTTGTATCTAGATGTCCCCCCAAAGCCTCATGTGCTCATGGGTGGGCTTCAGAAGTGAATAGATCTTAGGCATGTGATTCTGAAGCAAAGGCTGTAATAATTAGTGCTCTGATTGGTTTTACACTGTTCTTGGTAAGCCCAACACTGAGTATGGGTGGCACCACTGCAGCCCAGGTGAGATAAAAGGGAAATGAAGGGGTGCAGTGGCTTGCTGCTCTGCTGTCTCCCACCTATTCTGCCATGGACTATTTCTCTTCTATGATGTCCCTCTGCCATGCCTCCGTATCTAGGAGTTAGCCAACTATTGACTGAAACGTCTACAAACTGTGAGCCCAAATAAAATTTTCTTCCTTTAACTTTGGGTGTCGTGTTATTTTTTTTCCAGCAATGAGAAAGTAACCAAGACAGAGGGGATTTAAAGTCCCACTTGAAGCATCAGAAGCTTCAGCATCTGGTCCTCTTTACTGCTGTCACAGAAGCCAGCAAAGCCTATTGTTTCTGTTTCTGGAAAAATGTTTCATGAACTTCAAAAGACATTTGCCTTTTCTCCACCCTCAGAAATTTGGATCCTCCTGAACCCCAAGGGCCAGCTGGTCATGGAAAAATTGAGGTGTGGAAGAACCCAAGAGAGCTGAGGCTTTCTCTCAAAATTGCAGATGAGTAAACATAAATGGGCCTGGTAGCACCCAGACATTTCCACAGACTGAGTCAAAATTCTAAATTTGCACTGTGTTGATAGGATCTTACATTAAATCATCTGAGAAGTATTTACTTAGGAATTCTTTGGCATAACCCTTTACACAAGTACAGAAGATGCAAGGGCTTGTGCAAAATCTTTGATCCACCTATCTTTTTAAAAATGGAGTAGCCAAGGCCAAGGGAGACCAATTAACAAAATCAAGTTTTCTCATTAGCAAAACTTTCTCTTCCACAGCCCTGCCTGCTGCCTCCTAATCCAGGGATCTGGCCTCATCACCTGCCTCTATTCCTGAATCCTGCTCTTGCTATGAGGTTTGGGAGCAGGCATGTACCTCCCAGATGCAGAGAGTGCATCCAAGCAAGGTTACAAAAGCTTTTTGGCCACAGTGAGAGAGAACACTTTCTGCATCTCGCTAAGTGAGCAGTTAATTAATTACAGGTGAGTATCATGGTATTTGGGCTCTTGCCCTTATGCCCTGTCTTTCTATGCCCAATGTCTTTCCTTGACCAAGACAATAAGGCAGAGGTATCCATCACCACCTGATTGGACCTTTCTTGGAACCAGAATTTTCTTCAGAATTAGAAATCCATCAGGACAGCAGTCAGAGGCTTTCAGAGTTCAGTACAATTCCAGATGACCTTCCCTCCTACAGAGCCATCTCCCAACCTGAGGCTCTTCAGCTCCAGTACATTTTTCCATGGACACAGAGTTTCTGTATCAGACACAACAGAGACATGATAGACCTCTGGGGTACTTGACCACTGCATCAGTGATCAAGATGTGTTGTACCAACAGAGATGGGTTCTGAACTATATGGAATCTCAAAGAGGGCTCTGCTGTGGAATGTTTGATAAGTCTGTCCTTCCTGAGAAAAAGGCAGCTCATTCTTAGGAGGCAACATTTCTGAGATGTAAGAGTTCCCAGAATTCCCACAGGGCAGTCTACATTAAGGTACCAAGCTGATGGAGGTGATTTACTAGATCTAAGAGCACTTGACAAAAGTATCCAAAGTGATCATGAAGGTCTTTAGAGGAAGATGGCAGGAGATGAAGGCGATGTGACAGAGGTGGGAGGAAAATCAACAGCAAATAGATACGGCTTGAATATGAGAGGGGGCCATAAGCCATGGGATGTGGGCAGCCTCTGGATGCCAGAAAAGATGAAGAAAACATTCTTTCCCAGAGCCACCAGTGGGAATGCAGCCCAGTCACACTAGATCTTAGCCCAGTGACACCCAGTTGGCACTTCTGCTCTCCAGTGATAAATCTGATGTTTTAAGCCACCAAGTTGGGGTTAATTTGCTGTAGCAATTATAGAAAACTAACCCAACTATCATCTTGAGGTGTAAACACTAAAGCATGAAGATGTGAAATAGCTTAATAAATTGGATACATCACAGAGGCAGATCCAGAGCTTCAACCCAGGTGGTCTGACTCCACAGCCAGGACTCAGCTACTAAAATATACTACTGACCATGAATTGAATCTAAGAATTAACAAGAGAGCAAATAAGTAAAATACCATCAGTAGTTGTAGAGCTTAAGGTTGAGCTAAAAAGTAATATACAAACAATGATAAAGATTCCACAAAGCACTAGACTAGGAGAAAATAAAATACTTTTTGCAAAAGAGTTAGCATAAAATAAAATGAATAAGGTTTGCTGCTAAAATTACAGAATAGTTCAGCTGCTATGGAAAATATGTTGGTGGCTCCTGAAAGGTTGCTATGTGACGTGTAATTCTATTCCTAATTATATACTCACAGGAAAAAAGAAAAGGAAAAGAAACCTGTGCCTGTACACAAGTATTCATGGCAGCGTAATTAAAATTAGCTAAAAGAAGAGACGGTTCCATTTCCACCAGTACACGAGTGGAGAAATAAGTCATGGTGTATACACACAGTAGAATATTATTTCACCGGAAAAAGGAAAAAAATATTTATATGCAAGACAACAACAACCTCGATGGACCTGCAAAAACATTATGCTAAATGAAGGAAGACAGGCACAAAACGTCACATGTTTCTATGATCCTGTTTAACTGGAATATCCAGAGTAGATCAGCCCACGGAGGCAGACGCAGAGTTTTTGTTGCTGAAGGCAGGAGGAAGGAAAGAGTATGGAGTAACTGTTTAACGCTTATTGGTGGAGGTGATGAAATAGTTTTGAGCTGGCTAGAGGTACGAATTATCCAACACTGTGAATGTCACTAAATTTTTTACTTTAAAATTATTAATTTTACCTAGTGTGAATTTTATCTCAAAAAAAAATATGGCAATGTTACAAAATATCACCAAAGAAGTCTACAAGGCGTAGACCTTGCTTTTGGCCTTGAATGATGGCTGAGATTAGGCAAGAAAGGAGAAGGTGGATTGGTGAGCAAGAAGTAGAGAATAATTTCTCTTTAATTTCACACAATATTGCATTTCTGCACGTTCCCACAGAGTCGGCCCCAGGATCACCTCATTTTATCACCTTCAAAATTCCCATCCAGCACCCAGCAACTGCAGGAATTAGCAAGAGCACTCCACACATTTGCAGAAGGCTTTATAAAATTTGTGTGCAGAGAAACTGGGGCAAGTTCTAAATGGCTCAGAAGCCCAAGTCAGTCTAAAGTACTGGGCACCTCAGATCTGAGTACTGGTGCATCAGGTAACTCAACCCAGTTCCTGGGGCACCCAAAGCCCTGTCTTGTAGCCCACCAGGACCTGCTCGGTTCTTCCCTGTTACCCCTCAAGACTCTGTCGGGGGCAAAAGTCAGGACTCCCAGCAAGATTATACCAGTGAAGGGCTGTCCCTAGTAGGACACAAGAGCCCACCTTTACTCTGCGTCACTCACCACTTTGCCTCAGGGTGAAGACTCGACATTGGTCTCTCTGATGGTAGTCAGTCCTGACTTTGTCTCATCTTCTTCAGCAGCAGATGAAGGTCAAATTCCACGTCATGGATGGCTTCCTGCTCCTCAACGGAAGGGTTAACAAGCAGCTCTCAGAACTCTAAGAGTAGCCCGCGTATTGCTCCAATTTTCTGATTACGAGCTCCGGGTGGCTTCTGTGGGGATCTACCCACGGTGCCCTGGCTTCTTCCCACCAGCCTCTACTGCCAGCAGTGTGTGGAAGTCTGAGAGGAGAGAAGTCGTAAGACGTGCTGTGCTGTACATAACTTGATGCAGTGAGATACTTCTAAATGCGAAGAGAAATATTTGTAACTGATTGCTTTGACTTAGACCCACCAAGCTTAGAGACAGAGCCACTGACCTACCAGGGTGCTTTATTCTTTGGACAGGAAGCAGAATACTGACAACATAGTCCATCTCTTCTGCAGAGAAATTCTTCATCCCACTGAAGCCCAGAGATCACTCCCCCAAACCCTTCTGCCCCCCTGGCTGCCTCCTCAGCAGGGGAGGGACTGTCACTGAAACCTTATCCCAGGTTTTCTTTTCCTCCAGCCTGTCACTTCATGCAGGGGTAGAGCTTGTCTTCCTCCTCCGGGAGCATCTCATGGAGCCTCTTACGGTGCCTGCACTTATGCGTGCTGGTGGACCAGTATTGTGCAAGTATATTCTTACTCCTGTGTCAGTAACAAGAAGAGTTGTATGACCTCCAGATTTCCTTGGGCATGTATTAAAACTATTTTATTGCATTTATTTCATGCCAACTTTATGCTAAGCACAATGCCAGGTCTTTTATATATCCTTTTATATATCCTGTATCCTCAGGGGGCAGTTGAGGATCAGAGTACCGACCGCCACATCTTTCAGCTTTCTTTCCCTGCCAACCATGATTGCTAGTGCCCACTCCTACCACCCCATCATCCCACTGTGTTATTTTCTCTGCCATACTCTGTAACCTCCATGTCTACATGCCCATGCTAACCACCTCCTCCATCTCAGAATATTCTGGAATACTATTCTCTTAGCGATATTGCTGTCAAATGCCTGGCTTTCCCTGTACACCCCATTCCTCTGGCTCTGCTGTTCCAGGCTCCATAAGGGTTAAATGAAAAGTCTCTGGAGCAAGTTACTTCACCTGGTAATTGTGAAAATGAATGTGTAAACACATGCAGCACAATCACAGCAAGGCCTGGCACATAGCAAGCCAGTGTTTAACAGTGTTGTCCATATTACTGTGATAATCTGGAACCCTTATACTTCCACTAAATTTGTAAATCCCATGGAGCCTTTCCAGGGCTTTTCTCCTCTCCCTTCACCAAGGCAGCCTCTTTCATGTCCGTGACCATGTGTCACCTGCACACTGGCATCTCCCCATGCAGACCTCATGTACACTCCAGGCTCGTTCCCCAGTTACCTCCTGGACGCTGCCATGTGGATGCCTCCAGTGCATCCCAGGTGACAAGCCCATAACAGGACACCCCTCTTTTCCTGCGCCTCCTCAGTCCTCTTTGTACTGATGGCAGTGGCACCATCATCTGCTGCTGACTTAAGTAGCAGACTGTGGGTTCATCTTTGCCACTTCTCTCTAACACCTCCCATGCCACAGGCATTACCTCAGGCTTCCAATGTCACTTCCAATGTACCCTAAGACCATGCCCTTCTCTACGCCTGGACAGCATCACCTTCATCCAAGTGGCAGGAGTCCTCTTTTGTTCCTACCAATCCCTGCATACCCCTTTGGTGATGGTTTAATGCAAGTCAAATCATGACAGCCTTTGCACAGAGCCCTCCTGGTGCTTCCCATACCTTTCAGTGAGAGAAAACTCAGTTCCTCACAGGGGCCCTCAAACTCCTTAGCATCTGGCTCCTGACTCTTCTGGCTTCACCTTGTCATCGTCTTCCTGGCTGGTTGTTCTCCTCCCACTATGGAACCACCATCCTCCTCTCTTTGCCTCTGGCCTTCAACATATGCTCTTTCTTCAGCCTGTTCTCTTAGCAATGTTTGTGTCTTTAACCCTGCTAAAAATGTCTTTGAACGTATAAAACAAAGTGTGCATGATTACACATGAAACCAACTATGTAAAGCAACATTTGTGATGTACCTGTCTGACACAGAATTGATCATGGGGAAGGCGATGCATACATAGGGCACAAAGGTCCATGGAAAATCCCTGTACCTTCTGCTCAATTTGTCTGTGGGACCTAAAACTGCTCTGTAATATAAAGCCTACCTGAAAAACATCAGTGATGCTGTAACAAGAGTATGTGTGCTCCTTAATCAATGTGTGTTTACTAACAAAATCCAACAATGTGTCCAGCAACTACCATGATTCTACTGAATGTGATAAGAGCACAGTTGTTCTATTGGGGATAAAACCACAGTCATTGCCAGAACTATTGAAAAAAAGTGGATTTTCCTGGAGTTAAGAGCTTTGTACCAAGAAAATGATCTCTTTCCACTCTTCTACTAATAGCACTGATCCATCCTTTAGCCCAAAGATGACCAGCAATCTGCCAAGCTGAGTCCAAACCGTCTTTTGCTATCCCCTAATTTTTATATCTCAAGACTGTTTTTTTTTTATTTTTACTTCATATGCATTTATTTGCACAGATCTTTCTCTGTTACCAGACTGAAAGTTCCACAAGGCTTAGAATCAACCCTTTTCTGCCTGCAGGTTAGCAGGGAATGATTCAAATGAGAGAAAGAACTGGCCCAGGGCTGACACCAAGGGAGCGTGGCTATGACACAAACCTGACACTAAAGATCTTGTTCTTTCCCTGCACCACACCGCGCTAGGCAGGTTAAGAAATAATTTCCCACACATCTTCCTTCTTGTACTTACTCTGCTGACCTCTCCACCTAACAGCAAAGTTGTCTTTGTAAATTTATTTCTCTTGGCCTTCAGAAAGTCCACCTCTATCAATGTAAATTTGTAACTTTCCAATGTAGCTCTTGTTGAAAATTGATAGTGGAATATAGGGTTCACATGTTGTAGTTACATTAGTTTTATAAAATTTTGGATGATTTCAAAGCTAGTAAATAACGAGTTTATAAAGATGTTGGTGATGATATATACACACTGAGTGTTGTAAGCCTTTTCCACATGTTAGCTCATTTAAACCTTAGTCTAATTCTACCTCACCATGAGGAAAGCATGAAGTAGAAAGAGAATGAACCCAAGCACCTTGACCCATCTCCACAACAAAATCAGTTAAAATTTTTTTCACCTATTGGGGCTGGAGATTTAGCTAAGCAGCTAAGCAGGCAGTCATGAGTTTGATCCCCAGTACTGATTTTAAAAATAAAATAAAAATTTTTCCACCTGTGATGAGTACAAATGTTTTAGATCTCCAAGCAGTGAGACCTTAACCTACTCACCTCAATCAATACAGTACTCGGGGTCAGTGGATCATCAAATTATCTACTCTTTGCCTTAGAAATTGACAAACAATGATACAAGTTCAAAGTTCAAGACTTAAATCCCTGGCTGAGTGGATAGGGGCTGTCACAGAGCGAGAGCCCAGAGCAAGGGCATAGAGGGAAGGGCTGGCAGAGAAAGGGCGATTACTGAGAGGGCCAGATTGCAGCTCAGAAGAGCCAGACTTCTCTCAAAATAAAAAGTAAAAAGGGCTGTAGATTTATTTCTATATGGATGCCTTGGCTTCAATCTCCAGGAAACAGAGAGGAGAGAGAGAGAGAGAGAGAGAGAGAGAGAGAGAGAGAGAGGAGGGGAAGGAAAATGACTGCTTCTTTACAACTCATTTGGGCGTCTATAAAATGGGACCAGCCATGCTGACACCCCCCATTAGCACGTGTGAAAGGGGGAGGGAAGGACCACTGCAAAGACCGAAGGGCCCAACTCACACACCTGCTGTCTCAGTGCTCTTACTGCAGGAGCCTTAAAGAGCAGTCACCCGGGAACCAGCAGTGCAAACACACCCTGGCCTGCAGGCTGGGAGGGGCAGCGGCCTCCAGAGGGGCTCCTTGTCCAATGACCTCATGGTCCCCAAGTCCTCTCCTCTCACAGCCTGCGTGTATCCTTCCTAATTCGGGGCCATCTCTCTTTGTTGTTCCTATACTGATAACTACAATTAATCCCTGGCATTTCCCAACAGCTAAATCATCATAATCAAACTCTGCAGCTGCCAGATCTGCTGACTCAAACCCCCTATGTATTCATATGATATTTGCTGGGTAATTACAGAATAGAGGTAATTATATTCATGACTCCATTACTTTCATAATTCCATAGACCCAGAATTCACCACACACACACACAAAAAAAAACCTCACAGAACCCTCAGAATAAACTCCTTCAATAAAGACCCCGTGACCTCCTCTCCCACTGGCCTCTCTGCCTCATTCATCTTTTAAAACCTTCTCACTCATCAGGGACACCCTCTGAGCCACTAATGAAGGAAAGAAAGGAAATGAACCTAAACTAAGAATGTGGTGACCTGCACTTGGGGTTTACCCGAGGGCTTTGGGATTGCATTACTGTAAAACTTACTTCACCCACATTATCTCGGGCGCCACATAAGGAAGGCTGCTTCCTGTCCATACCATAGTCCAATTCCATACTTAATGCCAGGTACCTGTCACAGGCTCACTCGAGGGCCCAGGCTCCTTCTGTCTTGTGGCTCTGACCAATCCAAGTCCTCATCTGTTTGCCCAATCAGTTATCAGATGGGGAAAGTCCCTTTCACTCACTTAACCCAGATGTCAATTCCACTCTCATTTCCATTGGCAACTGCTCCCCACAGGGTACCCCACAAGGCAAGGGGTCAGGTGGATGTAGCCCTAGCAAATCGGTCACCTCCCAATGACCGCCCCGATGATGGCGGAGAACACACTCTTTGTTGGCTAGCTGCACACTTCTATCAAAAGTGTGATGCTCACAGGATGCAGTGAGCACCCAGGGTATTCGGGGAAGGAGAGGCCATACAGCTCCATGTAGTAAAGCAGATATCCTAGAGAGATGTCAAGGGAAACTCACTACCGTGGTTCTGTTCACCTCAGCATCCGAATGGGCGGAGTGAGTCAGCCTGGGGGAGGTCTTCGGTCTCCTTTTGCATTTCTCACTCTCCTGCCCTGCTTTCCTCATGCAGCCAGACAGCCTGACAGGGCTGCTCCTCAAACTTCTCCCCAGTGGAAGCCGTCTTTAGAGATCTGTCAGCTTCCTTGGATCAGTTAGGGTGCTCTAGAGGAACAGAGTCAATGTAAGTATGAAAAAGGGTTTCTAACTTACAGGATCAGCAACAGAAGCACCCCAATGGCTGTTGACACAATCAGAGGTGGAAGAACCCAAAATAGCCACCTGCATACTGCAAGGCCCGAGATCCCGCAGCAGTCAAAGGATGAAAGCTGATGCAGAGTTCCCCGTGCGAGGCTGTCAGAAGTTCAAGAGTCTGCCCTGGAAGTCTGAAGATGTTGGAGACCAAAATCCAGAGACGATGGTGAAGACTGGGGCACCTGCAAAAAAAAGGAAAACACTTATTTTTTTCTCTTTATTCTGTCCAAGCTTCAAGCCTATTGTCTGCCTATGTATCTAGCATCCATTTAGGAGTCTGCTAGGCTCTTCTGACTCGTCAATCTGGTGCCACAGTGAGCCATCACTTCCTGCTCTTTCTTCCCACCTCAGAGCTCCCTCGTTACTTCTCAGCCTGCTGAGGTGCTCCCAGAGGGGAAGACTTGCATGTCCTGCAATGGTGAAGGACACCCCCAAGGACTCTGGCCTCCTGTCAAGGGTCAGGGAAAACTCTGGGCCTTTTGAGACTGGAGAAGGAGGGGAGAGGAATCAGAATGTGGTTAAGTGCTATCCCTGACTAGAGAGCTGCTTCTTGGGATCCAAGTCCCAAAATTGATGGTAATAAAGAGGATCGAGTCCCAGAAATGCTGAGAACATGGTGAGGTGCCTGGGCTCCTGGGTTCTGAGGGGTAGAGAGCCCCAGAAGGGGCCCTGCAGCCCCTGATAGACTTCCAATGATTAATCAGGACCAATTCAGATGGAATCACCGATGGGTCCCTGAGGAGCTGAGCAGGGAAGAGGAGCTGCTGTGAGGATAAGGAGCCAGACAAGAGGTGGCCACACGGGGCCTCGGGATGTGGCAGACCTGCCCTGCTCATCCTGCCTGCACGGCTCGGCCCCAACCCAGCACACATGTGGGATCCCCAGGCAGTCTTTCCAGTTTTGAAAACTCCAACCTAAGAACCATCCTATATTTCCCATTCCGAATTTTCCCCTTCAGCAGATTTTTTTTGTTTTTTTGTTCCAGAAAAGGGATAGAAGTAAGTTTCATTGAGTTTCTTACACTTGAAAACCTTTACAAAACAATGCATCATTTTTCCCCTCACACTGCTTTTGGGATGGGTCGGGACAATCCCTAGAACAGCCCGCAGCACAACAGTCAAGAACCCAGCGTGAAGGCATCTTTCAATTCCGAGGGGACGAATAAGAATTTTCCAATTAATATCTATTCTCTCAGGCATGATTCAACTTTGTCAAGCTCCTTGTCTGGAGAATCCATGGGATTTCCAAACACTGGTAGAAAATCATCTTGGTGACATATTACAAATTAGTTTTCAGTGTAATTTTTAGAAGTGTGTATTGATAAGCAATAAAAAATACTAAATCTACTGTTTTTTAAAAATTTCTCCTTGACAAGAAAGAACGGGCCTTCTGCTGCCCTCTGTTCTCTTCTGGACCCCGTCTTTATGTCTTGCCTATTTCTGCAGATACATTATATATTAGCTACTTTTCTCATCACCAAGACAAAATACCCAACACCCAAATTAAGGGGGGAAAAGTTTATTTAGCTCAGTTTGTAGAGATTTCACTCCATACTCAATTAGCTGCAAGGCAGGATGACATGCCAGAGAGGCATCACAGAGGAGAAACAGTTCATAGCAAGGCAGGAAAGGTAGCAAAAGACAAGACATGACCACGGCTCTCTCTGTTCCTTATATCTTACTCAGGCTAGAACTCATATGCTTAATCCTAGCATCACACGAGGAATCAATCCCAGTATCACATCCGTGATCCCAGTAGCACAAACCCTAGATTCAGCAGCCTCTAAAAGGTATGCTTATGAGGGCATTAAGCTTTGGGGGGTCAGCTAGACACCACAATAATACATTATGCCCCATCTACCCAGAACCCGAGTTCCTACAGCCCTAGCCATTCTGAAGAATCCTGAGAAAGGAAAGACCCCTCTAAAGGCACTGAATACTCAGATAAGGTCCTTTCAGAGGTTAGCCTCACAAAAAAGCCTCCTGACCCTTCTTTCGGACCTATATTTAAACCACTTATGAGTTCACTTGTTAGTCTCTCATGTGCCAAGGACAGTTCATGGGGAAGGAGGAAGGAATACAGGCAAGAAGAAAGGTGAGGAGGTAGCAAGTCTAAACCAGGTGACAACTCTGACAGCACTCTGCCCTTAGGGAGGGTCAGGAATGCCTGAGCAAACAACCCAAGGTTTTGCAGGTGCTGGGAGGGTCTTGGAGGATGGGTCATCTCAAAGGGACAAAGTGGAGAGACTGGTCTGTCAAAGTGTGAGCGTGCTGGTGTCTACCCAGAAGCAGGCAGAAGAGGGCACGGAAGGCCATACGTGGAGCAGGCCAGGCTGGTCCCGGGAGGTTCAAACAGGAGCCAAACTGATAAAATGCTGAAGACTGAACGTGAGCCCAGAGTCCTGGGCAGTGTTGGGGGGGCACAATGGAAGGTGCTGAGGGGGCATGGGCATCTCACATCCTACAAGGGGCACCGGGTTCTAGGCAGGGGTGTCATCGAGGTAAAATGCCAAACCATCTGGGACTCTGTGACCATGGGAGACATCAAAGTCCAGGTCCTGGTTTCCAGTGAGTGATGGCCCCGAGCTGGATGGGGGTGGGCAGCGGCATTATTAACAAGGCCCTGATCTGACCACGGAGGCACCCAGGGGTGGCTCCGGGAGCCTCCCTCCCCCCCTTGGCAGCCTCCCTGACAGTAGGCGCCTGTCTCTCTCCACCCCCCACCCGGGAGGCTTCCAGCAACTGTCCTCGCCTCGGTTGGGGTCAGCAGGACCTCCCATTATCCTGAGCTCACCCAGAGAGCTGGCCTCAACCATTTAGCCTCCACCAAGGCAGGCAGTGGGGCGCCTGCCTGGCTGGGGAGTCGGGAAGCTTCGTTAATCAGGCTTTCAGAGCACTTTGCGATGCAGAGATGAAAGACGGCTGAGGAGAGCAAAGTACCGCTATTACAACCTCCATCTTCCTAATTGAGGAAAATGAGGTTATTTCCAAATCCTCTGTGATGCGATGGAAAATGTGCTTGATAGAACCACACTTAGGGCTTCTCCCCTCCGGAGCCACACAGGGCAGAGGCGCCCGGTGTTCACCGTGTGTGCGGAGCAGCCAGGCTGGAGTCCCCCCACTCGGACCTGCCCCTGCTGCCCAGAGTCCCTCCTGATGTACCAGCCCCCAAGAAGGGAAGCCACCAGAAAACATCAAAGTTGGGTGCCTTCCTGTGGCAGGGAAGTCCTCCTCCTCCACACTGAGTAATTGGAACAAAACGACCCAGGTAGTCTTGCGGCAACATCAAAGCTGCGTATAATAACCTCACAGATGAATTCGACAGTGAATACATTCACAACCATGGCTCAAGTCTGAAGCATGCCGCAATTTTTTTTAGCTTCAGAACCTAGCAAGACGGAAAAGAAAATAAAGGTGCTGCTTTCTTTATTAACCGGCTGCCTCCCCATTCAGGCTGCAGTGCAAAGTGTGGGTTACAGCCTTTGAGTCATAAGAAATCAGTTTAGGAACAGTGGTAAAGGGAGCAGTGACTAAGAGTGGAATCTGGGGTCAGGGAAGAAATCCCAAAGTTACGAGTGTGTTTCCACACACAGATCCCGGCCCAGCGCAGGCCTCGAGCACACAGAGAGGCTCTGAGAGACAAGGGACCACTCACTGACCACGGTAGCAACCACACTTCCACCACACAGGAGGAAGAAGGGGGGAGGGAGGGAGGGAAGGAGAGAAGAGGTCAGTGAATCAGAACAAAGGCAGTCAGGGCAGGACTGGGACAGTCCCCCAGGTATGACCTTGTCACCCTCCACTCTGCATTTGGCCAGCTCTACTCCATACACTGGGCTCTTCCACTGCCACCCAAGGTCACTCTAACAACCCTGCCCATGGCAAGGAATATACCAAGTCCAAACAGTGAGCAGAAAAGAATCTCATTGGACAAAGAGCTATCAGGAAACCACGAGGCTGAGTAAGTCTTACGAATGCTCTGCCGTACCATGACTTTGACCTGGATGCTCGATTTTCATTTTCCTTTTATTTAACTGTTCTACTTTAGTGTGATTAGCACAGTGATATTAATGCGATTCTGTATTGCTCTTATTTTTCCTACAAAGGAGAGATTTCTTAGGTTTTTTTTCAGTTAAAATTATGGTTGTATCCCATATAAACCTCAGCTACTTTTTTCTGACTATTACACATCTGACCTGAAAAGGTGCTTATTAGAAATTCCTGCAGAGCAGGCTTCTCTTCCACAAACTGAGGGCGAGAGTTCGATTTACTCTCAGTCAGTATCTGCCCTCTGCCCCCGGGCACTGCCACTCACACCCAAGGCATTAAGTGAATTAAATGGAGAGGTAGATGATGAAAAAGCTTCTCCAACAAGCAAAGTATTTGAAGATTTATCAACACCTCCAGGGCACTCTGAGCCTCTCCAACTTACCTCTGAAATGCACAGGATTTGGGAGGGATTAAGAGAAACCTGAAAATCTCTAAGAATGCAAGACAACAATTAATGAGTTGGAAAGTTAAGACTCCTTAAAGTAGGCTAGGAAAGTGGCCCCATAACAAAAGCCAGCCGAAAAGACAGAAATGCTTTAAAGAACTTTTGGGTCTACAAGAGAATCAAGTTTAGTCTGCATTTTTACTCTTCTGTTATTAAAAACAGAGCAATTATATTTCACCACGATTCTCTTTCCCGTTTCCTACTCAGTGGCCCCATTGTGACCTACGTCAACTTAGGGTTTGACTCAAAGCTCTGTCTTTGGTAACACCTCTGTCTTTATTGTCACGGCCCTGTAGAGAGCATGGGACAGGGAGCCAGGAGCAGCATGACCAGGTAACCAAGTAGCAGCCACCTTCTCACCCACCACTCGCCCTCTTCTGTACCTTACGCCTCCAGAGTGTGCTGCTGAACTTTGTGTACTCTCTTACACTTTCCCCACTGCAATCAAGTTTTATGTTTTGCTATTTCATTCATCCTGCCCGTAATGCAGCACAATTCTTACCCACGAGATCACCCCTACCAAGATCCTTTCCCTTCCTCCAACCCTGAAATCAGAGCAGGCTGTCCCCAAGGTGTAGAAAGTTAGCCTTACAACTCAAGTGTAAGCTTTCTGGAAGTCAAAATGCTGAGCATGTGGCTGACAGACAATAAGTATTTACTCACATGAAAGATTGTGGCCGGTCAGTCC